GTGTGTGTGTGTGTGTGTTTGTGTGTGTGTGTGTATATATATATATATATATATATACATATATATATATTCAGCATTATATCTAAGAATTGCATGGATGCACAAAAGGATAAAGACATTTTGAAAAAGGACTCATCTCCTTACCACTCAGTAGATGCTCATAATGTAGAAAAGTACCGAGACAGCAAAAATAGAGCCCACAATCTGAAAGCACACAGATAGTTAGATGCGAGTAAGCAAAAAACCAACGAAGAAAAAACAAGAATCAAAAAAATAAAAAAAAAACGGGGCAAAAACAACGGCAATCAAAAAAAAAAAATTTAACCTAAGAATCCGGGAACAAAAAAAATCCGAAAAGGAACCAAAAAGGGTGCCCCAAGTAAAAACGGTGGGGAAGGTTTTCTATAAGACACACTAGTCTCTAAGGGAGCATAGGATAGGACACAGCAAGAAACGTAAATTGAGTTTATCCCTTGAAATGGAAATGAGAAAGACAAACTAGATATAGGCAGGAAATGATAATATTTAGAACAGTTGGGTTCATGTTGCCACAAGAGACACTTATTATGAGGAATGTAGACTCCATTGCTGACACATTAAATATGACTCTATTCAATGGAATTTGTGATAAAGTTCTTTTGTGATGGGCAGTAAATAGTTTACATTATGCAAGCAGTACAGTCTTCAGTTACTAGAGTCTTCCACAGTGGCTCAAAACCAGGCAATCCCAATACAGAAATGAAAAGGCACAGAGAGAGCCCCTAAATGACCGGGCAGCATGACTACAGGCAGTCAGAGATCCCATCTCAAACCATAAGTACAAGCTACCTGGAAATGGACAAGCCTATGAACTCTCAAAACCTGCTTTCCAGTCACCCAAGCCTTTTGTCAAGGCCACGCCTCCAAAAGATTCCATAATATTCACCTACCAATGCCATCGAGAGGGGACCGAGTGTTTATATAATTGACCTATTGGGGGGGGCACTTTTCCTGTTTAAAGCACTACATTGAGGCAAGATTATTACCTCTCTTATACATCCTAGACATATAATCAAAGGGAATGGTGTTGCCCACTGTGGGCTGGACCTGTCTACATCAATTAACAATCAAGATAACACTGCACAGACATTCCCATGGGTCAATGCGATGTAGTCAATTTCTCAGCAGAGGCTCTCCCTCAGATGACTCCTCTCAGATGCATCAAGCGGACAAACTTAGCTAGGACATCAACTCTCATAGTAAAAATTGTTAACTCTTGTAGGCATTGCAGAGTTACTCAAATTTCAATGCAGAAGTGTGTCATCTTTAGTTATAAATACCTCCTGGTTTCTCCCCAAGCCTCTGGCTAACACCATTCTTGTTGACTTCTTCCTGTAGAGATTGTAATGTAATAGTCCCGCCCAGACTTTGTAGCACAGCAGAGTGTGTGGAGAAGAGTGGGTAACCATGTGCCAATATTGGGAAGGCCTTATTATGAGAATAAAGCACAAGAGAAAATTGTGAATTTGGAAGATGTATAAACTGCTTTTCTCATTTCTGTGACAGCACATGATGGAAGCACCTGAAGGAAGGACGGTGTTATCTGAACTCACAGTTCTAGGGCACACTCAGTCCATCACAGTGAAGAAGGCATGGCAGCAGGAACATGGGCCTCTGGTCACAAGGCATCGACAGGGAGGAAGCAAACAGAAGTAAAGGTTAGTGTTCAGCTAACTTTCCCCTTTTTATTCGTTTTTGGGGTTTAGTCCATGGAATGGTTCCACCCCATTCATGATGAGTGTCCTTATCTCAAGGAACCCAATGTAGAAATCAACAATTACCTATCAGAGAAGATGAGCTAATTTGATTTCCAGATCTTCAGCTGTAATGAGGACTGAGCTATCTGGAACACAGGCAACACCCAGGAGTTGAGCAATTAATCCATGTTTTACTCAGAGAACCAGCCATCAGAGAAGGCAGTGGATTCAAATTCTAACGATTACTTCCAAATATTCTTTAGGCAGATGGTGTGGGGAAAGGAAACAGGCTGCCAATCATTTCAAAGTTTGGTCTTTCCCCTCTGGTCAGGTGGTCAGTCTTGTCACTGAGATTTATGTTGTGGTGCTGTTTACTGTTTTCTTGCTGTAGCAGGGACAATTCTACTGTCCATCTTCATCATCTCTGTGCAGCAGGGGTGGGTTCACAAGCACCAGGACCTGTCAGGCTTTCCTCTCAAGCTTCCTAGGTTACAGATTAACTCAAACAAACCATTAGCAATGTGTTGTACAGAACCCTACAGAATAAAATACAAATGTGCTTCTATAATAGAGACTATAAGGGACCCCTATCCATCTTACTGTGAGTCAGGCAACCTGTGAGTTAGACAGGTGGCAGTTTCCAGGTCCTCCTATGAGAAACCCTATAGAAAATAAAAGAAAGAAAGGAGGAAGAAGGAGAAGGAAAAGAAAATAAGAAAAATAAAACTGGGTCTACACTGGATGGTCTTCCAGAGGACCTGGGTTTGATTCCCAACACAAAAGTGGATAATCACACCCTTCTGTAACTCCAGTTCCAAGAGAATAATTGCCTCTTTGGCATTCTTGTGTACCAGGCCCTCATGAGGCACACAACATACATGCGGGCAAAACATCCATACACATAAAATAAGAATTTTAAGACATTGAAAACAAAACATACATATATACTCTGATATATTTTTTGTGATTACTGAGGAATGTGCCCAGCATTCAATTAGGCAGTATGACTGTAGACTTGCTATAGTAAAGCTGCTATAGAGCCATCCAGAGACGGGAACAGTACTCAATTGACAGTAGCTTTTTGAAGAAGAATACAAAAGAAATCTCTCTCAAATCTTGTCTCCCCTTCTGTCTTCCAGAGTATGCTGAGATACAATTCCATATCCCACCCTCCATTTCATGCCAGAAGCAGTGATAGTTTATATATAAAACCTCAAGTACATTAAGTGTAGGCATTGGCCTGCTCAATTGTCCATTGAGATGAAGCCTCTTACATATTATCACCACCAGGTGGCACCCGAAGCACAAGTTTAACAATGGATGCTACACCACCCAGTTTGTGCTGATAAGGTGTGGCAGTTGAACCTGTGGCTTCTGGATCCCAGCTGCGACAAACCTCTCTGAAGTCATTCTGTGCAGGATATGAAGATTTTGGCAGAATTCACATTGGTTCCAGGCCCTGTGGAGTAAGGGCTATTATGGTTGGAAAGACTAAATGGAAGTCCTTAGAGTTGCCTATGGCAAGGAAAATAATTATCAAAAGAGTATCACATCCATCCCTAGAGTAAATGCAGAAATTATTGCCCCCATTAAGAACTTAAAAGACTCGGGGGAGGGGAGAGGTTCCCACCACTTCTCCCTTTAACTCTTCTATCTGCAAATGTAGGAAACAGATGGATTGTGGAGAATGACAGCTGACTATCTAAAACTCAAATCAGGCAGTGACTCTGATTGCAGCTGCTGTATAAGATATGGTGTCCCTACCTGAGCAGATTAACACATCCCCTAATACATGATATGCTGGATATGTATTATGTCAACTTGACACAAGCTAAAAATCAGAAGGGTGCCTCAATTAAAAAACTGTCTCCGGCCGGGCGGAGGTGGTGCACGCCTTTAATTCCAGCACTCGGGAGGCAGAGGCAGGCGGATCTCTGTGAGTTCGAGGCCAGCCTGGGCTACCAAGTGAGTTCCAGGAAAGGCGCAAAGCTACACAGAGAAA